AAATGGCTGATACCACAAAGAGGGACTTGGAGGGACTATAGAAGCTCCAGTGTTTTCTTTTACTAGAAAAGAGAAGTTTGAGAGGAGACCGAAAGAGGTGTTCAAAATGATGAAGGATTTTGATAACGCAGAGTGAAACTATTTGCATTGGTCTCTAAGTCAGTAATTAGAGGACATAAATAAAGATCATACCAAAAACACAAAGGGGGATGCTATAATATTTTTTTTCCACAGAGGCTATTGGCTATCGGCATGCCTTACCAACAGCAATGGTTGAAGCAGAAACCATAATAACTTTTGAAAGAAAATTAGACACGTATTTGAATAGGGACAACATAAAACGACACAGGGAAAAGGTAAAGGAGTGGGGCTAGATGGATGGCTCTTTCTGAGAGCTCACACAAGCATGAATGGGCAAATTGCTTTCTTCTATGCTGTATAATTCTATAAGTGGACTCATTTTGTAAACCTTCCCTTTCGGTTTAAAGTAAAATAAAGACCTAACATCAAGCTTTTTTTTAATGAATTCCTTTAACAATCTAATATTCATAAAGATAAATTAAAACCTTATATTTCGTTGGCAAAATTAATTTGCGTAACTTGCATATTTTTGTATGAACTGTTCTACACAATATCGTAAGATGAACCAGTAAAGAACATGACAAATAGGGATAGTAAATATCAGTCCTATGAGATCAGAAGTGAAAATATCCACTGAGAACTGCTAAGTCACTTGTTAGTGAAATTAAATGTTAACACCATAAACTTTGATTAAAATAATCAGTTATTGCCTTTTTACAAATGTTGCTGTTAGTGCTTAAATGGTGACTTATAAGACAAAGAAAATTCTAGTAAATATAGATTTGCCTTTACTATATGGTGCAAGCACAATTTGGATCAGACCACCTATCCCTATCTTACAATGTCCATATCTTATTTAATGCAGAAACTGTGTAAAAGGCTGATGATGAATGGCCATAACAGTACTCTTTAAAACTCAGACAATTAGCAAAGAAAATAATAATAATAATAATCCTTGCATTTGATATAGCGCTTTTCACGTCGGGAGGACGTCCCAAAGCGCTTCAGAGAACACACTGTAAAGTGAATTGACTGTATATTTGTGGGCGAACGCGGCAGTCAATTGTGCACAGCAATGTCCCACAAACAGCCGTAGATTGAAAATGACCAATTTATTATTGTTTTTTTTGGTTTTGGAGGAATTATTATTGGTGTTTGTGGCTAGTTGTCAGTCACCTTTTATTGAGAAATCTAAGCAACAGGCAAAAAAAAAACAGAAAAACAGAGTTCAAGTGACACCAAGTTTGGGCTTTTAAATCCTTTCCATTGTACGAAGAGAAGAAAACTGAGGGAGGAAAAGAGTTTCAGTCTTGAGTTCCTGCAAAAGAATGTTAAGAGTTGGCGACTGAGCAATTAGTTCATTTGAACACAGTGAAAATGCAGGGAGGATGATGATTTTGGGGGGGAACAAAAAAAGGAAAGTTCAAAGGACCAACAACTGAATTGATAAAATAGAGAAAGACAAGCAGGATTATAAGGGAGGAGCAGTGGAACCAGGATTCCTGGTTCATGATTCCTGGACAAACCTCCTCTTGTATTCCGTTCACAAGCGTGAAAGAAGTGCTAGAAGAACCTACCCTAAAGCGTTGAAAGCAAAGTTACAATAAAAATAGGAGAAAAGTGGAGAAGATAATGGAATTGTAAACAGAATAGTATTTTTTAAAATGATTTTGTTGCAAGACATTACTATTACAATAATAAACCTTTCTTGTTGCATTAACATTAGTTTAGGAGCTGAAAACTTTTTTTAAAAAAAAGCCAGCTTAGGGAAACTGGAATTCCTTGGACTTGTCAGTCAATCAATTATTAATAAATGCAATACCGTTCATACCAAACAGGTTCTATAGGACTGTAATTGAACACACAAGACCCAGTTTTGTCTTGCTGAAAAAAAATCTTTACTTAAACTTACATTTTTCTTTCATTTTACTCCACTTTCTGTAGTTCTTGTTGATAGCAAATATAAATAAACTGCTACATTTTCACTGCCTAAGTCATTGCCTTTAACAAAATTATTCAAATATTCTATTTTATAAACATCGGTAACTACAAGTAGGGCCTGATGTTCATTTCATTTTTAATAAACTTGACAAACAGTCTCTGTGGGTCAGAAAATGAATACTACAGGATCCATTTAACTGTTGCTTATTGTGTGCTGTATTCTTCCATCACAATGTCAACTACAGCTACATTATTGTAATCTACATTTTCACTCATTCATCTACAGTAGCAACAACATACCAAACCACATACTGTGCTGTATTAATTTTATACAATCTATGTCCTACTCTTGCCATTTTAACTGGCACTATTCCAAATTTGTTTTAAAAAAAAGTAAAAACACGTAACACAAAATTGTTAATGTAAATGTTACACATATTGACTGATAAAACAATGCGTACGAATTAAGTCCAATTAAACAAATAAAATACTCAAGACAGAATTTTAATTCAGAATATGCATTAGAATATGCTAAGCATATTTTTATCTTGCATTTTTATTTAGATCCATAGTTTAATATATTCTTCAGATGGTTAGCAATTTCAGAACAGCCGCCCCAAAAAACTACCACAACACAGATAAAACGAATCCAAATGTGCCAAATTCAATCCGATGTTCACCATCAGTCGTTTTATTTGCCGTTGCAACATTCTTCTTTTAGGCATTTATACCAAATTGGGATGTGCAGGTTGCGAAAGCAATACTATAGAAAAAAAACTTTAGAGGAGGGGGAATGGATTTAAATCTAATTTATCGTTCGTATTGATCTGTATCTACCTATTTATTATGGCTTATTCTGCCTATTTGCTTGGCAAAGGGGAGTCCATTGGCTTCAGTGTCCGTCCAGAGGTTGACATGACGGAATAACTGATACATGTGATTACAGAAAGAGGTAAACTTTCCAACTCTTGATTTAACTCCGATTGGTTTGTACATCTTCTGACTGAATAACAAATACAAGGAGAAATCGTGCATTGTTTCCAGTGAAAGCAAAGTAATCAGCAGGTATAATTCCCATTGCAACGTATCCACTTCCAGATGTGTCGTTTAATTTACACATTTTTGGGGGGAGGGGGGGGGGAAACGAGATAAAATGAATTAAATAAACGTTTCTATCCTATCTGTTCCGTGCATGTCACACATGTCAACATCAGACTGAAAAGAAGAGTTCGTAATTGTTACCAATATGTACATCATCCAAATTCAAGCAGTTGAAAATGCAAAGGGTCTTGATCAGAAGGTCACTAATGAATTAGTTTCTCTGACAGACCTATCAAATATCCAGGAAAATGTGATCCACGTGATTATATATATATATATGTGTGTGTATACAGTTTATATAACGTCAACGGTGGCGACTTATCAATGCATATTTATTTTGATCCCAATTTTCGTTTACCAAAGGAGATGCACAGTTTTCCCCGTCTCGTTTCGTCCTGTGTAATTATCTCCTTCTCAGCACAACTCTAACAGCCCCGGTGCCGATTGCAGTGATAGACAGACCTTTCAAAGCACTAAACAGCACATCTCCAGCTGCACAGGTCGAGACACGGCGTTGTTAAACGTTAAAACCTTCTCCGCGCAGTTGCGATATCAATAAATAATACCAACTCCATTAAATCGTTTAATCCACGCAATCCATAATACTTGTAAAAGTTGTTCTTTTTTTAAAAATAAACCCCCCCACCGTTTTCCTTGACTAAACCATCACGGCCACAGTGGATCTAACCTTCCTTTCATGTCGCGTTTTTTTTTAAAAAAACACACCATAAAATGCATTTTAATGTTTCCGAAACGCGAACGATTAATATAAAATGAATCGGTTTCGAAAAAAAAAGTGTGATGATAAAAATGCCATTTATTATTGAAACAGCCACCTGCAAACAATGTAACATTGACAGAAGACAGCGTCAATATATATATATATATATATATAAAAAAAAAACAGCTACACTCTGCAGATCTGAAGCCCTTTAAAGCGGGATCTGAGCTGTTATCTGACAATCAAGTGAAAGAGCGCTGATCAAACCGGACTTTCTTCTTTGAAAGTGACGAGAAGCTCCAGCCACAACAAACCATTAGCACCTGCCTCCACACACCTCCTCACTGTAAACACCGCCCAACCTAATAGAATAAAGAGGGCTAATAGATCAGCGCCTATTTATACGGTATTACCAAATGCCTTCTCTGTCGAATAATATCCACAAACACAAATGCAAAAAAAAAAAAAAAAAAATGCGATCATTCCTCTCTGACAATCCGAATGCGCTTTTTTTTGGGACATTTTTTTTTTTTCGCCCCAGACACCCACATTGAGTTTCTTTATAAATGCTCGGATTAATTAGCTCTATTTAGTGGCAAGCAATGACGAGCCCAAGAGCGATTGGATGCCCACGCCCGGCCCTGCCTTATATTTTACACTCCACAGAGCATCTGTGCTCCTCCAAACCGATCAGCAGCTTTAGAAGCGCAGACTGGACTCCGCTTGATCTGTCTGTTGACAATTTAAGAGAGAGAGAGAGAGAGAGAGAGAAGTGGGAGAGGGAGTGGGGAAAAGCTCCTGCAGAAAATATAAACAAACACTAAGTTTGTCGTGACTGCTGGGAGCACTCGGGTGTTTTGGGGGGGTGGAGGTGGTGGTGGTGGGGAGGGGGGTGGTGGGGGGGGGGGTTCTGTGCACACCACAGCTGCCGGCGCAAAGCCTTTTAATATGATCGCAGGACTTTGAGAGAGAGAGAGAGAGATCGAGAGAGAGAGAGAGAGATCGAGAGAGAGAGATCAGCGCTTGTTCCAAGTTTTGCCCCTATTTTTCATTTTCTTTTGGCGCCCACCGTCAAACAAAAAAAAAGAGAAAACACTCCCCCCCCCCCCCCCCCACCCCCCCCACCACCACCACACATTGCTCTGAAATTGTCGCCTGTAAAATCGGCCGCATTGGATCCGTCAGCCTACTGCGAGACTCCGGTGTACAACCCGGATCTCTGCCCCAACATGATAGCGGCCCAGGCCAAGCTGGTGTACCACCTGAACAAGTACTACAATGAGAAATGTCAAGCTCGGAAGGCCGCTATCGCCAAGACCATCAGGGAGGTGTGCAAAGTGGTGTCAGACGTCCTGAAAGAGGTGGAGGTGCAGGAGCCGCGGTTTATCAGTTCGCTCAACGAGATCGACAACCGCTTCGAGGGTTTGGAGGTGATTTCCCCCAACGAGTTCGAGGTGGTCCTGTACCTGAACCAGATGGGAGTTTTCAACTTCGTGGACGACGGCTCTCTGCCGGGCTGCGCGGTGCTGAAGCTCAGCGACGGCCGCAAGAGGAGCATGTCCCTGTGGGTGGAATTTATCACGGCTTCGGGGTACCTCTCGGCTCGCAAGATCCGCTCCAGGTTTCAGACGCTGGTGGCTCAGGCGGTGGACAAATGCAGCTACCGGGACGTGGTGAAGATGGTGGCCGACACCAGCGAGGTGAAGCTGCGGATCAGGGACCGCTATGTGGTGCAGATCACTCCGGCTTTCAAGTGCACCGGGATCTGGCCGAGAAGCGCCGCGCACTGGCCGCTGCCGCACATCCCTTGGCCCGGGCCGAACCGTGTGGCCGAGGTCAAGGCCGAGGGGTTTAATCTGCTCTCGAAGGAGTGCTACTCCCTGGCCGGGAAGCAGAGCTCTGCCGAGAGCGACGCCTGGGTCTTACAGTTCGCCGAGGCCGAGAACAGGCTGCTGTTGGGGGGCTGCAGGAAAAAATGCCTCTCCGTCCTCAAAACTTTACGCGATCGACACCTTGAACTTCCCGGACAGCCTCTCAATAACTACCACATGAAAACTCTGGTGTCCTACGAGTGCGAGAAACATCCCCGGGAGTCGGACTGGGACGAGTCGTGTTTGGGAGATCGCCTAAACGGGATCCTACTGCAGCTCATCTCCTGTCTCCAGTGTCGCAGATGTCCACACTATTTCTTACCCAATCTTGATTTATTTCAGGGCAAACCACACACCGCTTTGGAAAACGCAGCGAAACAAACTTGGCGCCTGGCGAGGGAGATACTCACCAACCCCAAAAGCTTGGAAAAACTTTGAAAACCAACATGTAAGACTGACTTGCAGGTGTTTTATTTTATTATGACTGCTCTCGTGTGTGGTTCAGTGGTGGCTGTTTGGGTGTTGCGTATCGTGAATTCTTAGAAGGACAAAGCTGACTCCTTCCAATTTCTTTTGGATACAGCTGGACCTCGTTTTTTTTTTTGTTTTGCTTAAAAAGAAGATGTTGCCATCAAGGTATCTATCTGTAGATAAGATCATCGTCGTCGTTTATTTTCCTGCTCATTTGATTGTGTCATACATTCTGGCGACAGTGGATCGTTTCAGATTTCTAAGCTTCTTCATTCCCTTCCTCACACATTCCACCATTACTTGAATTGTTATTTAAAATCTATTTGAACGGAGATTTTTGAACGTTGCTTATACATATAACGCTCGACTATTGAATACTGGAGAGGATTTTGAAACGATGCACTTGGAAAAAAAACACTGGATTAGAACACTTCGTGGTTTAAAGGACATTTTGAAATTCTTGTTGGTGAGATTATTTAATTTGAAAACGATACAAATAAAACGATTACACTCCTTAATGGCGAGAGTTTGTAATGAGTTGCTAAAAAAATTAAAAGGTGCTGCAGAAGATCGCATACTTTGATACTTACTGCAACATGCAATTTATTTCGTGTTAATGTGTCATTGGTGTATCTACATCAACCTGCCCACAGCTCAACTTTTTAAAAATAATAAATGGATGATACAAAACCGGGAGAAACGCCACGGTATCCTGTAATATAAGATTATAAGAACCTAGTGTCACGTTGTTTCTGTATGATTGAGCTAGGTTCGAGGAGAGTATAAAGATAAAATAAATACTATAGCTTCGAGAAATTAATATGGAATCGTATGTATAAACCAACCAGGAATAGAAGTCAGTGGTTGGACTGTTTGTGTAAATATCTTAAAAGCAAATAAAATGCCATTTTTGTTCCAAGTGAATACTACTGGATTTCTGTTAACCGAACGTCGTAATTATGTGTATGTTTTGCTGGGTTTATTGTACCTCTACTGCAATCGCCAGATTAGCCAACGATGAAGTGAAAATGAAAAGGAATAAAATTGCACGCATTTTATCAATATGTTATCCCAACCATAACAAAATGGCGTTATAACCTCCAGCTCAAACCACTATTTCGGAATACTGAAATCAGGAAGGAAAATCACAAGGAATTAAACACACAAACACATTCTTTAAATAAACGCCACACGACTTAAATCGAGGAACGGAGACTAAACCTTAAACCCAGGAGTTTAACATGTTTGCCAGAAAAATGCAGCACATTGAAAGGCATAAAGTAACTGTTTACGGTTTTAAACATACTGCACATTTGTAAATGTACCAGTTCGATGACGATTTTCTAGATTTAAAGATAAATTATGTATGTGTCAGATGCCAAAATAAGTCTTTACATTGTCACACGCTGTTTCTAACAGGCCGCAGTGTTACACTTGGTGTTGGATTCGGTGCATTGCTATAAATACTGTAAGTGTTATCAGTCTCATCTGGACACAGATCGGGTTTGTGTACACGCGACAGAGACAAGTCGTTACAAAAATAAACATGGATCAAATCATATTAAAATTACACCCGAGACAAAGTCGGTCCAATCTAACTAAAACACAGTGGTGGATTTTAATTGTTTAGAGAGAGACGAATCGGATCCCAACATTAAAAAAAAGACCATGTTTGTTTACAAAGGAATTGGTTTGTAATTTGAAGAATATGGACATTGTGAATGTGTAACAATAAAATATTTTACAAATATTTAAAAAAAAATAAGTGTATGATTTCGATCAGATTTTATTGCAACTGGGAATCAGTTACCTAACCCGCTTGTTGAACCCATGGATTGTCTTAAGGTTGTTTTGTTTCACGTGGACCCCTGAACAAGGCTCTCGCCACATTGAGGGTTTGGGTTATAACCAATACATACTATCACAATACTTTTCAAAAACCAAGCGAATACTATTGCAGACAGTTTGCAAAAAACAAAGTTGCGAGGAAAGAGTGAATTGCAAAACGTTTTTTTTTTTAAATCGCGAAAAAGAAATGCGAATTCGGTGTGCAATGTGAACTGTATCCACTTCAGCGAAATATACCAGACATTGTACATCGGGTGATTTTAACAGTGAACACTGATTTCCTCCTAAACCTTTCAGATGACTCCAATCGCATCAGATCAAATGAAGTTTTTTTTTTAGTGCAGACAACAATTAATTACAACGCTATACATAATTTATTAGTATGTTTACCCATAACTGGAATTGAAAATCAATCAAGATAACGTCTCATATTTTACTATTTTGCTTTACTTCAGAAAATTAATTTATGGCAGATGGCGAAAACAAAACAAAAATACAACACATTGAAGTTTTAAACTTTGTTGAATAAATCGCCGTGAGAAAATCGTAAGATCTGAATATTATGCATTTTCAGATTGAGTTTGGTCATCATTTAAGTCCCAATAATAGTTACCTATATCAGCATTCTTTAAAAAAAACACTAATTGAAAACAGATTAAGAAATGAACTGCAGCAGTTTACAGTCACATCGGGCACAACAAAGGCAACGAACAAAACAAACTGTTTTTAAATTGAATTTTAAGAGTGTAATCTGACTTTTGGATGTTTGTTCGAAATCGTTTAATCCAAATAGAACGACGAAACCGCAAATGGCTTAAATGTAAACTATTGCTATGTCTGGGTGCTGTAGCTGAGTACACTGTAAATGTTTGATCTGCAACTTCTGAACAAGACAACTGAATTATAATGAACATTTGGGCCAAGGTCTGAATACCGTGGTTTCAGAAAGCCATTAACTCTTTTGTCGGCCCAGATAGAGCGGGTTAAAAGATCAAATCCTGTCTTTAGTGCTGGCAGTTTTATTCACTTAAGCCTCATCAAAATGTATCGACTACTTTAAATAAACGAGTCTCGAGAGATGCAGAAATCAAATCTTTTTTTTGACAAGTCTGTTTGCAGTCCTGACTTAGCAAACGTAAAACTTTTCAAAGAGTTCGAATATTTCAAAAGGCACATTGAACAAGTGCTGAACACACGAAGCTGCAATTTCAGTGGGGAAAATGCTACACAGCATTAATTTATACAACATTAATTAGCCCACGAGCCACTGTCACACAGTCCATCGGTGTACAACCACCTCTCAGAAACTTTGTTCTTCGTGTGACATTGGCTTCGGCTGATCACACTTTGCGCTATTTCAGATATGGAACGAAATGCCATTTGTGGTTCCAAATGGTCGGTTTGGCTAGTTACTGATCAATATTATTTGAACACTAATACGAACACTGTTGATTCCAGTGGCTAAGTACCATGAATGAAATTACCAGAACACACACACCATTTGTTCTGCTTTTCAGCATTGTGGCAAAATTCACACTTGTGCCACTTTCTTTTACTGTTTGACGTTAATTAATATACGTAACTTTATGCCAATTTCAGTATTCACCGAAAAATGAGGTGTGGCAAATTATTTAGTTTTTGAATGATTAATTGTACATTGTCAACACAAGCTTAGAGGATGGTGAAATACCTTTTTTTTAAAAATCTCGTTTTCAAAACCAACAAAGTACCGTGATAATTATTGCACAATTTTTTTAATATAGTTTTCAGACAAATCGTATTTACTAAATATTAGTTCAACGTGTTTTAAAGTTTATTGTAAGATCAAACTTCAGAATAGTTCAACACTGAGGGGGCTAGGGGGAGAGAGATAAAATAAGACGTGATGTAAACTACGAATACATGAGTGCTTGGTTCTGCAGTGAAGTTATAACATTTAAACATTTAGCAAAAAAAGTGAAAATAACTTACTTTGGGGTCGATTTTTTTGAAAGCAGAGTCATCTTCATCTACCTCAAAATAGATCTCTGTAGTAGTGATGGACAGCGTTCCTCTCGCTACTACCACTGGCGCAATTAACTGAGCAGCAGTGCTCAGGACAACAGGGCCTGCAAATATATGAAGGGCAGCTTTATTTTCACTATGGTTCACGCAGGGAATGATCTTAAAGTGAATGCATTATGAAGATAATACATGGCTTATTGTTTACAGAGGGTCATATTATGATCGGGATTGGAAGTTTCTTCATCATATATTGTACTCTAATATTCACATTAATTCAGGGTCTTTGGAACAACACTCAAAAGTACAGCATATCTGGGTAAGCTTGGTGATGGGTTTCCGCATGTGACAGTGTGACAGACACCAGCTAACCAAAAACAACATGTACAACACTGCCAATGGAGGAGCATTACGACTGGTATTAAATACAACAATTAATGGTTTTATGTGAAGCCAATAGGGACGTCATTACTGTTTCATTAAATATTCCATCCAGTGCAGTTTTCCGAGTTTCTGAACATGTAACCATCTCATTGATACCTCGGTGTCCGTAAGGACTCTATTTATGTTAACTTTAAACTTTAGCGTCCGATTTTCCAACATTTGTATTCAAATGTGTAGCATTTGAAATGAACGGTCGTCTATGAACGACATCCACAAAACATTGTTCACACATCTTTACAATTACTTGATAACCTTTCAAATAGCAGAAATCTATTCACTGATCATTTGAGTCTAAAATATATTCAAAAGATGCGATGCTATCAATTTTAACTTTCCTTAAGACCCCAAAGTCCTGATCTCAGTCAGCTGATCATCACATGGAATTTCATCATCTGAATCCTAAACACTTACTGGTGGCGAGAATACTCATCACAACTAACCAAACAAACCTTTACGATTGGTATTTGCTATCGATCCCTACATTGAACCGCCACTTTAATCTCTCATCAATCTTAATCTGGGTCTCTCAGCCAATTATACTCGATATTGTTGCAAGATTACAAGTGGATTTGGTTTGTATCCCCAAGGCTCTCCTCTGTTGTGCTCGCAGACAGTACTGCAATCTCTTCATTTTACAACCAGCTACAGAGGGAAAGGGATGCCTACTAATTCAGACAATTTAAAAACTGTCAATATTATTATTATTATTATTATTATTATGAGGGGGTGGGGGGAATCGCTCCTTCCGAAATGTACTAAAAATGGTATATTGTAACCTAATCGAAGAATGTTTTTAAAAGGATACGGCAATTGTAGGGTAGTCTGTAGGGAATTAGGGAAAGACTGGGACAATATGAGGTTAATCCAGTACAGCAGTAAGAAAGGGATTACGTTTTAATCTCTCATGGGATAGCCACTCTATAATTAGGATCCTATATTAAAATGTTTGCGTAGGAAATAATCAAATAATACACATTAACCGTACGTCAGATGAATAATGTACAGTGCAAGCGGTTCTTTTGAACCAGATCTCTCGGGTTACAAAATAATATATTGAAACATCTGAATTTTATTTGAATTCAAGCGTGTGTTGCTATTACTAGCACCGGTTCTGACCTAATTTCAGAGAAGCTTTGAATCCTTTATATGTTGACAGTAACTGTCTGAAAGCAGCTTGATTTAACCTCCTAAATATTTCAGTCTAGTTCCACTAATATTAATATTGTGCTTTCTTTAGGATTTGAATTGATTCAGGGCGATCTATTGCTAACCTGCGCATGTACATGCATTTGTTGAACTACATAAAGATTTTAGCCAGGTCTGACTGAAAGGCCAGCTGGTAAACTACCCTGTTCATTTTTAGGGGCATCAATGTCCTCGCTGGTGCCAAAGAACCTCTACATCAAGCAATTAACCAACTTGTATCCCTTTATCGCGTTGTAATAACCCACATAGCGTCGGTAATTACATAAAGATCGGAATAATTTGTCGCATTATTAAAATTAAGATGAACCTTTAAATCTATTGAAACAACAGCGTAGGAAATGTGCGAGCACAGGAGCGTGACTTGATCTGGACGTCTTAATGCCAACAGCATCAGCCACCGGCATGTTGGTGATTTGGTCGGGATGGGAAGATAAGGCGTGGAGGCAGGAGGAGTACAGCCGGGAAGACGGCAAAGATACACAGCTGGCGGTCGGTCACAGGCGCAACGGGGTGACCCAGGCCTCCAGGTCATACGGCGATATAAGATAGAAAAGCAGAGCCAAAGATCAGGAGGACAGCAGCCTGATACAGGCGGTACCGCGGGCAGAACATTACAGGCGCAAGGAGAGAAAAGACGGGATGCAGTAATGGGCTGCAGAGCCTTGACCCAGACCTGGAAACAGTGGCGGAGATGGTGGGACGGTGACCCGACGAGTGGGATGGGAAAGTGACCTGAACACAGGTCCATAGATTAACAGGAGGACGATGGGGCAGGAGGTCCCCGGGGACAGGGCAGGAGGCAGTCACTTGGCTCCAGTTTATCGAGCAGAATACAAACAGAAGCGAAGCTCGGGGTATAGCGAGGGGCTCACTCGGGTCGAGAGGCGCCTACACATAGTGGGCAAAGAGGTTCGAGACCAATGTTACACGGAAGGACACAACAAGGAACATAAAAGGCACCTGAGGCGTGAAACTGTAACGATTGAACAACGAGGCAGATACGTGAAACGTGCAAGAAAAAAAATAACTTACCAAACAATTGGTAAATAGGAGATACATTGATAAAGAAGAAGGGAGAGAGAAAAAAATGGAGCAAAGCCAAAAATGAGGAAGAATATATATATATATATATAGCAGGATTGGATTTTCGTGTAAGAGAACAGCTTTATCGTGGACTGACACCAGTCAGACATCCACTTGATGTAATAAATACTGGGTTACAGTGGGAATAACTGAGCTGTTTCCTCGAGGAGTTCTGATGTGGAGTTTTGGGAGTTCAAACAGAGCGTTTTACTGATCTCATCTGATTACATGTACATCACCTACACTTCGAAAAGAAGTGGTGTTGAGAAATGCAAGTCTCAATTTTAAAACCATATTTAAAGACACGAATTTGCGAGGATGTCAAATATATTGCATTTGATCGCGTAAACCAGTCTAATGATGAAGAAAAGTCCATTTAATCTAAACAGCAAATATTAGTCATTTAGTTTTTTTCTATTCATTTATCTTCAGGTTTTAGACGAGAGATTCGATTAAAAAAAAAGCACAAATCTTGCAATCACAAACAACATCTGGCAAAAAAAATGTTAATTGATAGATATGAATTCAATGTTAGTTTCTACGTTTTTATTGTTCTATTATTTGGTGAAACCACATTACGGCCATTTAGCAGATCTTCAACTAATGCAAAACTGCTTTCCTTCAGAGGTTAGTAATGGCAAACGTATGACTTGCCTTTGGAAACAAAGACCTGGGAGTTAACAGACGCTGGAATATAAAAACAAACATTACATTTAAGGAGGAGAAATACAACTGCACTGGAGATCAAACCAAGTATATCTAATCGTTTCTAATCGCTGACAATAAAGACGGCAACTTTTTAAAATGTATTGTTCACAGTGTTTCTTTGACAATCCAGATATCTGATAGGAGCTTCTACCGTCATATTATTTTTCAGTCTCATTTCGTTTTCAACGAACGGTTGATACTTATATACTTCCTTCACATTAGGATTTAACGTCTCGTTAAGCGAATGGCGACAGTGTGAAGGATTGCTCAACAAAATGAAACCAATGGTTAAAGTACGGTGCTAGGAACTGGATGTTTATTTTCCAGAAATTCAATCGCAAAACTGCATAAGGAGCGAATTTGTGGCAACATTACTTCCAGATGTTAGCTGGGTATATAGCATGGATGCTAACATCCCTGAAAATGCATTGATCGCTCTCTCAGGGTTTCAGAGATTGACAGATTATTGATCGCTTTCTCGGTATTGCATATTCTACCCCTATAGCCAAAGTCTTTAGTATTGTGGACTGCGGAACTATCGATGTTGAGGAGATTGTGGATCTTTTGCACCAAGTTACCTGTCAGTGCGCCAATCATTATAAAGCTAAAATTATGCAGACAGCGTCGATCTCCTCCTCTGTACACAGCGGAGATTACCTGCTAGATTGTCGATCTCTTTCTCCTGCAACAGACTGACTGTATCATCATCCCCCTCTAACATCAGCTCGGTCTCGGCGCTCTGATTCACAACAGCCTGTGTGCGGAAAGTTTTCTTGGACTTCACCACATCGTCCTCAGTACCTGCGAAAACAATTCAGATGTTTTACCAACTCAGCCCCTCGCCCTCTGCCAGGACAGTCCTCTGGTACAGATACCATATTCCGATCTGCTGAAGGTTCCTCGCCTTCCCCTTCGCAAACTGTTGCAACTTTCTTGCTCTGTGGTTTTCTTTCAAATCAATCGCCATCTTTTGCACAGACCCAAGAAAACCGTCTGCTTTCGGCAAATGTGTGTCCCGCTGTTGAAAGTTTGCGGAAACACCACGTTTTTAATCGATTCTGAACGACCAAATAGCGAACTTGACCAAGAGATTGCATTCTCGAGGAAAGCCACATTGCACACGCGTTTAAACACTCTTTCCGACCCACAGAAATGTACAAACCCACACAAATACACACGAATATTCCATTGTTAAATATCGCTAACTTTCGAATATAACCTTCGAAATAGTTATATTTACGGAACGACTACTGTCACGATTATTGTAGTGACGATTAAAATGTTTTTTTAAAAATAAATACATAATTGTCACTTTTATATTGAAGCCATTCACTGTTTTAATTTAGCAATGAATCCTCCATCCACATTTAATTGTGGTTTTCTAAGCGTATGTGCCTTCTCTACTATGTGTTCCTACTTATTCCGATTGGACAGTAAACAATCTTTTGCCCCTTAAAATTTATGTTTCCTATTCTAATGTGAATTTACATGGGGGAGGAGACACAATGTACGAGAAAGATCTACTTATACAGACCTTTTGAGATAAAGTGTGTGCTATTTCGATTTATTGAGTTTAAGTTTGTAAACTTATGGAGCACTTCAAATAGTTACAGACCACTTTGGATAGGTTTCTCTCACATGATATCATCCCAACCTTATGATCACTCATGTGCCAAGCGGTTTGGTGTTAGGATTCAAAAATATTGGATCTCACATCACTTCAATTTTTCGCTATTAAAATCCAGATGTGATGTTGAGGGGAACCTGGTGCTCCCAACGGGTTTCTATCATTTGGGGCTGTAAACATTCACCGCATTTGAAATGATTTCGCGACATTCATTAATAATGGGGTTAATAGAGAGGATTATTTGTTTTGTCACAAACTGTGCGTTGATTCAAACCCCATTATCTTCCTCCACCTGCAAACGAACAGACAGACATGAACCATCTAAGTTTTAGGTTCCTTCCGACCTCACAGCCAGAACGATTAATTTTTGAGCTCCACCTTGTGGATACAATATTCTCATGGAACGAGAGACTGTTCGTTTGCATTGTTTTTTTGAACAAACCACAGCGATTTTCTATTTATAGGTACAGTAGCCGACAGTAATTTGAAACGCAAACAAACGGAGAACATCTATTGAGGGGGAAAAAACAATGGTGCAATGCCCTCAACGTGTTGCAATCTTTTAGATAAAACTGGAGTCTTTTTACTGTAAAGAATTGTAGATAAAGGGAGAAAATATTCAGTGCGAAGTCGTAATACACAAAACAAAGTGCCGTTGTGGATTCATTGTTACTTTTGAAATATATGAATCACACCAGGTGATCAAGATGCCATTAAATAAAATAAACTTCTATTTCTTTAACATCTTTCAAGTTAAAAAAAACCCCAAAGAGGCTTGGCGAACATAGTGGTGGACCCCAAGCACAAAAAATAAGAGATATAAAGGAATGATTAACGAGGTATGCTTTTAGATTTTTCAAGGTGCGAGAGGCAGCAAATGTAAGTGGTTTTGGAAGAGTTTTCCAAAGGATAAGGGTACGGTATTGGAAGGCTAAGCCACCAACGAAGGAGTGAAGGGAGTGGGGAAAAAATACCAAAGCTAAAAGGACGTGGGCAGGAATGTAGGACTGGCAAACATTAAAAAGCTAGGGTAGAGTGGGACACTGAAAGTGTTTGAAGACTGGGACAAGAATTTTACCGATTATTACAAGTCTACTCTTGGTATACTATTTTACATTATCAGAAATACAGCGCAAATCGTGAGGCTGTTTGATTGACTAAGAATGATGGAAATATAAAAGAGCTGCAATTGGAAGTTTATAGATGACTGGAAAATCGCTGGAATTGAGTGAGTTAGCCATCATGTTAGGAATTCCGATGTCTAGGTTACCAGCTTTATACCTGGCTGAGTTACAAAAGAGAATGAATGAATGAAGTAATAATGTCTGTGAACAGCAAAGGGACAATAAAACGCATTTAGTGGCACGTAACCGATCTCTTCCTGTCCCTATGCCCTTAATGCTAATTTAAACTAGGTATAGATTTAATACAGTGCTTATAGCAGAGTAATGCAAAGTTTTACTGAAAGCCCATTGCTCTTGTCACAGGTTAATTGTGTGCAGTTTTGGGTGCTGTATAATAATAAGAATAATAATACTTCCATTTGGTATAGCGTCTTATCACGTTGGAAAGATGTCTCAAAGCGCTTCACAAGAATTACTGTGAAATGGACTGTCTATGTATTTGTAGGCAAACTTGGCAACACAATTGTGCACAGCAATGTCCCACAAACAGCCATCAAACGAGTGACCAATTTTTATTTTGGGGGATTTTGGGCAAGGACACCGGGAGAAACTCCCTCCTCTTTTTGAATAGTGCTATGGGATCTTTGACATCCACCTGAGCAGGCAGACAGGACCTCAGTTTAACGAAGGATGGCATCTCCAACAATGCAACACACCTCCAACAACAAAATAATTACATTTGTATAGTGCCTTTCATGTCAGGAGGACATCCCAAGGAGCTGGACAGTCAGTGTTTCGGACCTGAGCTGGGGGTCAGGATCGGGGAGGGTGGAGGCCAGGTGGGGGAAGGAGGGTGATCGAAGGCACGGTCGAAGAGAAGGGTCTTGAAGGAGGCAAGGGAGGGGGAGAGGCGGAGGGACTGAGGGATGGAGTTCCAGAGGGTGGGGGCAGAGTGGCTGAAGGCACGACCACCAATGGTGGGGCGGGCGAGGCGGGGGACGTGAAGCAGGCCGGAGGCCTCTGAGTGGAGGGAGGGGGCAGGTTGGTAGGTGTTTAGGGGGTCACAGAGGTAGGGGGAGGCAAGGCCATGGAGGGCTCTGAAGGTGATGATCAGGAACTTGAACTGTGTGATGAGAAGCCAGTGGACTTGGGCAAGGATGAAGGTGATAGGGTCATGGAGGCTGGTGTGGGAGAGAACACAGGCTGCAGAGTTCTGGATGATCTGCAGCCTATGGAGGGAGGAGTTGGGGAGACCGACAAGCCGGGAGTTTGCATGGTCAAGACTGGATGTTATGAATGCATGTATGAGGGTTTCGACAGCCTGTGATGTGAGACAGTGGCGAACCAGGCAATGTTGCAGAGATGTGGGAAGGCAGAGTGGGTCATGTCACGGATGTGGGGCAGAAAGGATAGTTGAGGGTCAAACAAGATGTCAAAGTTCTGGACTGGCTTAGTGCTGCATTGGAGTGTCAGCTTAATGTGAGTTCAAGTCCCCCAAATATTAGATTTTTAGTTGTGTGCATGGTCAGAATGATACCAGGTAGTGTATATGATCAGTTCTGACAAGACTTGAAACGTTAACCTAGTTTCCTTTCTCCAAAATGCTGCCTGACCTGCTGAGTATATCCAGTGACTTCTGTTTTTATCACTGTATATGATGTTTCCGTACAGACTAAAGTGGAGAGATTTGATCCAGGTAAGTACAGGAATAAATAATGTTGCATCCAATTTAGGCAAGTAGCATCTGACCACTTTGGGAAAATAGGTTCATATCACGTATGATTTTTGCTAGCAGTGGTATAATTGTAGTTAATGTACACCAAAATGTTAATCCGAGTTTAAATTTATAAAGCTCTTATATGTCCTCCTGACGTGAAAGGCGCTATACAAATGTAATTTTGTTGTTGTTGCTATACAATCCAATTGCAATTTACATCTATACAGCACTTTTCACATTGGGATGATGTCTCAATGCTCTTAAGTGATCCAAATGATGACTGTGGTGGTTATCGAGTTTAATGAAGAACTGGTGAATCAACCAGCTATTCATTGGAAATGATAAATAACTAAGATATAAATGCTACTTCATGTAACAGGTCAAAAGGAAAGAGCATAGTTCCCATTTTGGCCAGCATAATGAAAACATTACCTTGTTGTTCTTATAAAACACCACAACCCAGAATTTCCCACATAGCATGTACCTAAACTGATCTGTGCAATTAAAGAGAGGCACTAAGAGGAAAGGAAAGTTATGATGAAAGTCACCAGAGTGCTCTCAGGCACCTCTAGGGGTAGGCAAACGTACAACATTGTCGATCACGATAAGCACTGTACTTGCATTTATACAGCAGTGCTTTTATGTAAAATAAACATCTCAAAGCACTTTATAAAATAACATTAATTTAAAATTAAATGAATATTGTTATATAGGTAAACAAGGCAGGTAACTTGCTCCAGTGCAAACAATGAGATGAGTGGTTAATTAATTTGAATTTGGGGTAATGCTGACTGAATGTAGTATGACGAAAAAAGAAAATCAGAAGTCATGATAGGGAAGTCTGCTCTTCTGTCTGGCAGTGGCTTCAACAACAACAACAATAACATTACATTTGTAAAGTGTCTTTCACGTCGGGAGGACATCCCAAGGCGCTGAACAGTCGGGGGTCAAGACCCAAGCGTGGGGAGCAGGATTGGGCTGAGGGTGGCTGAAGGCAGTCAAAAAGGAAGGTCTTGAGTCGAGCCTTGAAGAAGGCAAGGGAGCGTGCAAGGCGTGGAATGGAGTTCCAAAGGGAGGGGGCAGAGAGGCTGAAAACCTGGCTGCTGATGGTAGGTCAGGTCGGGCGGGAGACATGGAGCAGGCTGGAGCCTGCTGAGCGTAGGGAGTGGACAAGTTGATAGGTGGTCAGCAAGTCAGAGAGGTAGGAGGGGGCAAGGCCATGGAGGGCCTTGAAAGTGAGGACGAGGATTTTGAATTCTATCCTCTGGGGGATGGGGAGCCAGTGGAGCTGGGCAAGGCTGAGGTGATGAGGTCACAGAGCCTTGTCCGGGAG